AGCTTATGCTTCAAGAGCTGCCCTCTGATTGGCTATGGGTCATGCTGACAGTCAAGGGCCATTTCCTGGGAAAAATGACTATTTCAGGGCTAAATACAGGTTCCTGAGTCTGTGCTTCTTATCACTGCTCTCTGTCCCTTTGGTTTGTTTTAAATCCCATCGTTTTTCACTTCTCCACCTCATAGAGTTACTATGAGCTTCTTATTTTTCACTACAAGAATTTACCAGTTTACCTCCTCCTCCCCATTAATCTAAAACAGTGGTCTCAGGGCCCAGTTTGGTGGAAGACAATTTTTCCACAGACGAGGATGGGGAAGTTGGTTTCCAGATTCAGTTTTTATAAGAAGCTAAGGAGCCCAAGCTAGATTTCTCGCATGTGCAGTTCACAGTAGGAATCACAGGCAACGACTGATCTGACTGAAGGTGGAGCTGGGAGAGTGAGGAGAGAGATGGGGAGAGGCTGTGAATGCAGATGAAGCTTCCTTGCTCACTTCCTGCTGCGCAGTGCAGGCCCTAACAGGCCTCACATCTGTGAAGGGCTGTGGCCCAGGGTGGGAGTTCCTGATCTAAGATGCATACACTCCATGCAAAATTTGAGATATCCTTACACTGAAATGTTTATTTTTATGTGAAGTTCAAGTCTGTTCTATATTGTTACTTGCTACATCTGGAAACTCTACATCTAGATGATATTTTCAGTATTTTGATGGTGGAAATGTGATTTTTATTTTAGCATAGCAAATTGATGATGTCTATCGGAACTCCAAGTGGTTAGTGATGAGATTTCCCCAAACACAACAATGTGCGTAAGACTCGAATTTTGGCTTGCAGTTCACAATTTCAGGGTAGATGATTATCTTAGAGTGGAGAAACAGAGTAAGCCTTGTTTTGTTGAAGAAATAACCATGTGGACCAGAAGAATAGGATGGCTGGACTATCTGTAGTCTTGGTCTGGACTATGGATTTTTCTTAATAGCAGAGGAACTTTATGAATGCATTTGATTTTTCCTTTGAAACTAAAGAGAAAAGTAGATATCAGAAGACAAGTGATTCCCTGTGAGCCAGAGTGGGAATGGGCTCTGTGTTGATCATTGGATGTTCTTGCCTAGAGTGATACAAGTACTACATATATCCATCCCTCTTTAGTACATGCTCTGAATGCATTTAGGAAGAATATATTCTGTTATTTTGCCATAGAAGATTCTATAAATATTAATAAAGTCAATTTTTTCAAGTCTACTATGTTCTTATGAGAGAGGAGTATGAAAATATCAACTCATACCATGAATTTTTGTATTCCTTCTTGTGATTCTATCAGGTTTTTGCTTCCTGTATTTGATGCTATGTTATTAGGGACCTAAACACTTATTATTTTTATGTTCCCTCATCGAACTGCTTCCTTATCCTTACAAAATGATCTTTATCCCTCAAAATAGTCTTTTCTGTGGAACCTATTTGTCTGATATTAATTTTCTCCTCTCTACCTCTCTGCTATGGCTCATATCTAGATGTCCCCCTGAAGCCTCATACACTCATAGGTGGGGCTTTTGGGAGGTGACTGGATCATGGGTGTGTGACACCGGATCAGTCCACTGATGAGTTTAGAGCTGGGAGTGATGTAGGAAGGTGAAGCCTGGTGGGAAGAGGTGGGTCACTGTGGGTGTGGCCAGGAACTGTATATAGCCCTTTGCCTCCCTTGATCCCTCTTTGCTTTCTGCCTGACTTACCATGGACTGTTTCTCCTCTGCCATGCCACCCTGCCTTAGACGCAGCTGACTATGGACTGAAACCTTTACAAATGGTGAACCAAAATAAACCTCTCTTTCTTTAACTTATTGGTATTGGGTATTTTGTCGAAGCAATGAATAAGTAACTAAGACCCGCCCTCCCTTCCCCTCTCCCTCCTTTCCTTTTTTTCTTTATTTCTTGGTTCTTGGGATTTAATCCAGAGCCTTGTGCCTACCAAGCATACATTCTATCACCGAGCTGCACCACCAGCAAATGCTAGGAGGCATCCCTGAGTGGATATGAAGCATGGCACTTTCTTTTTATAAGAGTTTGCAGGCTACTTGTGTCTTTATAATGTATTTCTTACAGACATTTTATACAATAATCTCTATCTTAATTGATAATTTGAAATAAAAGGTCCAAAGGTGTAGGGGTGGTGGGAGGGGAAGGGGAAAGGGAAGAAGGGAAAGGAAAAATTATGAGAAAAGAAAAAAAATAGAAACAAAATCTATGTAAATAGGGATGGGTGGAGGGGGTGAAGGGCACACAGGTAATGGGGAAAAGATAAGAACTAAGATACGTCATGTACAGGTACGAGCACCCAATGATAAAGGTAAATGTATTGTATACCTAAAATGTACCAATAAAAGAATTAAAAAAATCTCTATCTTTTATTTGGGTGTTTAGACCATTTATATTTAAGATTATAATTATCAACATGGTTATATTTGAGCTTATCCTTTTGCTATTGGTTTTCTATTTGTGTAATTTGTTATTTGTTATTCTTTTTCTCTTGTTCTATTTACTTTAAGACTCTCTCAGTATTTTCTTTATTCCATTTAATCTCCTCTGTTGACTGCTAGCTGTAATTCTTCATTTCACAGTTTTGGTAATGTTTTAGGCATATTCCCAGTGGAGCCAGAGTCTCCTGGAGGTAGGGTGGACCCACTAAACATGCTCACATTTCAGGACTTTGTTCTCTCTGTTGCTCCTGCTGGAAATGCTTTCCTTGTACAGTGCTGATATCCCCAGGACTCCTCCCCTCATTTCAATGGGTCTGTGTTCAAATATCACTTTATCAGAGAAGCCTTTTCTGACTTCCTAATCTAAATCTAAGGAACCCCCTAAGTTGGTCCATCATTCTTTACCTTTTACTCAGATAAACTATTCTTCACACCTCTAGTATCATCATACATATTTATTTTATTTTTCGCCCCACTATCATGTAAATCTCATGAAAGCAAGGGATTGTTTTGTTTACTGCTAAATTTCCAGTATGTAGAACACTGCTTGACATATTAAGCCCTTAATAAATATCTGTTGAATGAAGGAATGAATGAATGATTCAGAGCTTGAGAGAGGTCTAATATTTAGGTTAACATCTGGTTTCATGTCTGGGTTGACCAGTTGTGGTATCTGCTTACCAGAATGCATTTGACTGAGCTAGCTAGAGAGATGGGTATCCTCCAACTAAGTCATTTCTCTGACTGGTCCTTTAGGACCGCCCTTTATACTCATTAGGAAGGTGCCATGCACCGGTGAGGTGTATACGAGAAAAGGAGATGTGGGGCATTTTGATTCTCTTTCCTACCTCTTTGCACTATACAGTCCTTCATCCAACCTCCTTTTCTTCCTGTATATTTGTGCCCTTGATTACTTTTGGAGCAAGTTTCTCAAAAACTCAAGGCTCAGAATTTCAGTCATCTTTAGAATTTAGTCAAGAACATTGTTCAGAAAAAGTAATTGTGAAATGGAGAAGAAAGAGAGCTACAGAGAGGATGATATTGCGAATGTGGTAAAATGTGACATTTGGGGGACCTGGATGAGGAGCTATAGGGAATCTTTTATACTAGTTTTTGCAACTTTTGTGTAGTCTAAAGTTACTTCTGGACAATAGGTCAAGACAGTTACTTCAGGCTTCATCATTTCCATCTTTTCTTCTAATCTTGGTGGCCAACTGGCTCTCTGACTGTTGCTTGTAGTTTGCCATCTGACTGTACCCAGCGCCTCATCTCATTTTTCTCTGGTGATGTCCCACTTGCTGTCCCCATTGCTCTCATACCCTTACCTAGAATCCCATAACAATCTCCTGGCCTCCTGTGGCAGCCACTCCTGGCTGCCATCCACCTTATATGTGGCTGCTTGAATACTTGGTCGGAAATACAGATATAATCACATCTTTTCTGTCAAAAGCCCATGATGTCCTCTTGTTGCCTTCAGAACAAAGCTCCTGTCCTCAGCTTAGGGTTCGATAGTCCCACACAATTAATCCTCAACGCTCTGGTCAGCTTTTTCTCAGCCTGCGTCTCTGTGTCAATCTCACATGATTTCCCGTCATTCCACAACACACCCACTCTTCTTTTTGCTCTGTTTCCAATCTCTTTCCATTGAGGGACTTCTACAAATGCTACCCCCTTTGAAGACCTACTCTCATTCCCCAGACAAAAGAAAATTTCTTACGAGGGTTGAGCGTATGTAAGATTATGATTACACCTTCCTATGGAGTTTATATCCCTGGCTTCACCTCCAGGTCATGAAGATTTTAAGAGAAAGAAATTTGTCTTGTTCATCTTCATATCTCCCCAAATTCTACAGCCTTACATATAAAGCTAAAAAGTGTTTGCAGAATTTAACCGATTCGATTTTAAATTTCAGTATCACAACCCTAATGGCTATTTCCACAGTGCCATTGTTCATCAAACTATTTCATTTCATTTGTCACGTTCACTTTTACTATAACTTCCAAATAACCCAATCAGCTAAATTCTTCTTTATTAACATTCTGATTAGCAAAGACAGAAATGACCCAGTGTTTTGGCCTCTCCAAAAAAACCATGTGGAGGTATAAGTTGATGAGCAAAAATGTTCAGAATAATTTAGTAAGGTTCTGCCACTATTGAAATCATATTTTTTCTTATATCCTTAAGTAGAAGTACTTATGCAGGTTTCTGTCTTAGTTAAACCTCATATAAAATATTGTTACAAGCATCCTTTCAGTAAGGGCCTCAGTTCTTACTCTGCATAGCTCTGAACTGGCTAATTTCAATTGAAGAAATGTTTTCATGAAATTTTTGCTTATTGGGTGTATATATATATATAAAAATTTATACACATATACACACACATACACACACATATGTACACACACACACATATATATACACACACACATATATATGTATATACTCTGCCAGAAATGTATACACACTTCAGGAAAAGAAAACTTGCATAAATATTTTAATATGAAATTTATTGAGACATCATAAAATTAATACAATTTACCTTTGGCCTCTACAATTACAAGAGGTGCTCAAAGTGGTGGCCATTGGCTTCCAGACATTTATTAGTATGGCAAATGCTGCTTGGGTAACCTTCGTCCTTGAGATTACTGCACATGCATCTTCAATTTCTTCTCTAAGGACCAGTAGTGTAGTGGGTTTTGTGTGGTATACGACATCCTCTAGGGTTCCCCATAGGAGGGTAACACCATCTGTTGAAAAAAATCATACTATTTTTCTTTTCCTGAAGTGTGTGTACATTTTTTGGGGGGCAGACTCTATATATTCCCAACCACCAGAATCAGTTGCAAAGGTATATCTGCTATTAGGGTATATATTTTTAAAGGGCAAAAGGAAAGTACACAGTGTTTTCTAAAATCTTTTTATCAATTTTATTGGGTGTGAAGATTTTCTGTTCCTTGAGATATGTCTGAACTATATTAGTTTAAAGAGATTAAAAGAAATATGACATTTGTACTCTCTGGTTAAGAGCTACAGTATTTAATGGATGAAATATTCTAGAATTGTTGGTCTATGCACAAAATGACGTGTCTTGATTTTGTGAATTCTTCCTCAGTTTGGTACATTTGATTTGATTCTTCCTTCTGGAGTTTACTGTATTTTCTTGAAATTAGTAGTATTTTTCTAACACATCTATGATACTGGGCATTAAATTTTAAAGAAAATCCATTTTTATGATATTTATTTTACCTCAAAGTCTTAAAACTTATTTTTTCTCATTCTTTTCATATAGTTTAATTTTCAAACTATTAAACAACATTTGTTTGGTTTGCTTTTAAATTTGTTATGGATAACTGGACTCATAGTTGCTTTTAGTTACCTGGAAAGCATGACCTTACTCAGCCTTCCTAATTTCAAAGGATTCCAGATGCATGGAACTTATTTTCACTCATGTTATGGTTTGGATCTAGATGTCCCCCCAAAGTCTCACGTGATGGCTGAATCTAGAGTGTTTGGTGCTGGGATTAAGGGTGTGTGATTACTAAACCAGTACACTGATTGGTTTGGCACAGACCTAATCCCAGCTGTCTGGATAAGATAAAAGGGGCAGAAAGACACTGTTAAACTCTTGTGGCTTTGGCTACCATGTGGGCACCATGAACTGTTCTCCTCTGAGAGGCCTCTCTGCCATGTACCACTCTGCCTTGGAGCCAGCCAATTATGGACTGAACCCCCTATGAACTTAAGCCAAATAAACGCTTTCCCCTCTAACTTTGGGTGTCAGGTGTTTTGTCTCAGCGATGAGAAAAGTAACTAACACAATTCACATTCCAGATCCATACGCCAAAATTCATGAAGTGTGCAGTGATTTGTTACTGCTGTGTTGCACCTTACGGAAGGGGTTGGCATAGCTCCACACACAGGGCCACACGCTGTCCAAAGGTCAATAGAGGTACTTTATGCCAATCTCCGGACCCAGAGACAGCCCAGGATGAACCAAGCTTACACACATGACGTGTAGCTCCAGTCAACAATTCCAATGGACTTGTACTCTCTGGGGGCACTTCTCTGCCTTGGGTCCTTGAGTTGCATAGAGATCTCTCAAGGACCCTTTCGGGTCTTTAACCTTATCTTAATATAGATATCTTGGCTATACCTCAAATCACTGCTCCTCAAAACCTCCTTCCACTTGCCCTTTTATGATTACCTTGTTCTCATCCCACCTCCTCTTTCCTTCTCTCTTTCCTTCCTTTATGTTTTGAGCCATTTTTGCTGGAGAAATTTGAGTAATTCAGCACTAACTTCTTAGTAGCAACCAGAAAAGGTCCTGCATGTGCAGGTTCTTATCCATTTGGCCTTCCCAATCACATTCCGCCCTGCAATTTCAATTGTTCTCACCTTGCCTCCTCGGGCTGTGGTGATAAGGCACCGCTGCTACTGCTTCCCCAGTGTATTTCAATAGCAATACACTTAGTTGCTGGTATAAACACTGCTGTATGATTTCTTTATGCTCAGAAATTATACCAAACCATTCTTATGAAATATTATACACATACCGTAACATTCTCAATGATACTGTTTGTTCTGATTCTTTTACAGACCTTGCTCATTATATTCCAGGCTGATCATTCCTAGGTATCATTTCTGCCCTGGGCTTACTCACCAACATCCCAACAAGCCCTCCACTCTGATTTGCAGAGTTTCAGACCAGCTTGGATTTCTAAGAATAGCTTGCCCCAGGCACAGACAAATCCCTCCCTAAGATCTGAGGCTAAGCCTTATCTCCAAGGAACTCTAACAAGGTCTACATCTTGACATTACTATTTATGTCAGCAGTACCATCGTGCTGACAATCTCAGGTCTCAGAGTCATGGATGATCCTTTCTTCCCTGATTCACATCTGGCCACTCACTAAACCCAACTTCAAGTGTGTAGCTGAAAGAGCATCCCCATGATCCTGGACTGGGGTAATAAGTTCCTATCTGGACCCCACTTCTGATTAAGTAGGGACTCTGTTGTGCCCACCCAGGTGTATCTTCCTACCACCTTCCAAACATGTTTTACTCATTCCTTATGGAAGAAACTGAGACAGACTTTCTGACATGTTTGGAAAAGAGAAAAGATTACAAACTACTGTTCATTCTGCTCAGTGCAATATGATCTTGTTTAAACTGCATGCAAAGTTTTGGACTTAGTAGCATTTTTTATTACTGCTGGGTTTGGATGTTCCGTGGTATGTTTCTGTATTTTTTGTATAGTATTTATGCATTTGTCCCTGAGCTCTTGTTGGCAGATGCCCTCCTTTCTTGATTATTTTATCAGCTATTCTCTCCTATTTGTTCCTATATTTTCTCTCTACATACAATTACTGTGGGAATTCTAAACTTTTATCTTCAGTTTTTATTTAGTTTATCCATGATCAAAGTACATCAAGATGAGAGAAGAGTACATATTTCTTAATAAAACATAGATTTATATATAGAGAGAACTATAGTGTATTTTCATATATGCATACACAAAGTTATATGCATAACACAGAACTTAAGAATTTCTGGTATTAATGAGCTATGTCAGATTTAACAAGAAAATAGTTTCGTACCTTTCAGTTATTCTAACTTAACTATGTTGGGCACTGATACATTTTTATCTATGACTGAAAAAAGCAATTAATATAACTTTTTCTGTTAAAAATTATGTTTAAATAGAGAATTTTATTAAAATGTTTTTCAACTGCTGGCATAGCCTGAAGGTGTGCCTTGCTTTTTGTGGTGCTATGATCTTGAAAATTAGTATGTAAAGTGACTTAATTAGAATATATAAAGTACTATTGACGAGAGTCTAAACTGGTCCACCATTTGCCATATCTAATAAGGTTGGAAATATGCAACCTATGGTTCAGTTCCTCCTCCAGTGACACAGAGGCTTCTTCCAATGGGCATTAATATAGCAGGCAAACATGCTTGTATATCTAAGGAAATAACTTAAAAACTAACAAATACTGAGCGTTGCTGTTTGTTCCAGGCACTTTACCACTATAAATATGTAATCCTGTTGTCACTTAGTATCCTACAACACTATGATGTTGGTTATAAGTTTGAGCTAATTTTCTCTTGAAAGTAGAATTCTAGTCCTCTGTGAATCATTATAAATTTGTTTTCCTATTTGAAGTATTTATACACACACTGCTTTTTGGAGTCTTAGTTTTTGTCTGCAATTTCTGAAACAATGTTTACCGTAAAGGTCATGGGAAATTGGGACTTCACATCTAATAACTCTAATCACATCCTAAAAACCCTAGTGTGTCACCTGTAAGAGGGTATTGCTTTTTGGTTTTTTGGTACTGGGGATTGAACTCAGGACCTTGTGATTGCGAGGCAGGCAGCAGAACCACTGAGCTAAATCCCTGGGAAGGGAGTATTGTTTTAAGGTCTTAATAAGAGTTAAATAATTATAGAAAATTTAATAAGAATTTTATGCATAAGTTTAATAACAGCTTAATGAAAGTGTGTGGTACCTTAGTCAATGGACAGGAAATCAGACTTAAAGAAATGAGACCACATACCAAGTAAACTCTATGCAAGTAAAAATATAAGTTCTTTTCAAATTAACATGTTTTGTTTACATAAATGTATAGTGTTACTTTTGTTAGATGTTGAAAATTTTTATTGAAATGAAGTGTGGAACAATTTTTAAATATTTTAGAAAAGAATATTGAAAGGTGAGTAATACAACCAGATATTAAAGTTTGCTCTAAAGCTATAATAATTAAAAGTGTGATATTGATTCAAGCATAGTTCAATGTTCTTTTTGTTATATTCTGGCCTAATGACTCAAGCTTGTCCTTCACACTGTTTCTTTGCCTCTTCTGCTTCCTTTTTATTTCTACCTGATTTATAGCCATTTCCCTCCCCACTACTGAATTATCTTATTGTTTATTTTAATCTCTTATGTTTTTCCTTAAAGGGACACAGTGGATGACGTTTTCTTTCATTTCCAATCATAAATATATGTAAACATGTGTTTTTATTTTAATTCAGTGCAATGTTCTATTTGATATTGCAGATTCTTTTCATAGATTTTTTTCCTATTTTCACAATTGCAATGGAAGACCATAAACAGAACAATAGCACTGCTTGGGGATTATTGTTTATTGTAAGAAGCCTTCTATAAAACTTTGTAGCTGATGGAACGTTGAGGCAAATTTTCAGCAATAGCAACCACCACCACCACCACTACCACCACCAAATGAGAGGAATCCAGAGTCATTGGAATTCTATGAAAGGAAAGTTAGGCGCTGTAGGATATTCTCTGTGTCTTACTGGAAATCTCCTCTTTATAGCCCATTTTAAGTTTGCCAGGTTTCCCCACCAAGTATGAAGTATAAGTGTTCATCCAAATGAGTAGTATCAAGAATCTTTTTGAAAAGCAGAGAATTTCTATCCTGTGAATAGTCTATCTTTTACTTCCTATTTACTAAAATGATCACTATACAGATACAGTGGTATCTCGGTTCACAAACTTAATTAGTTCCACAATTCTGAGAAGATGTCTGTGGTCCCCTAATGCAGAGTTCTTGAACAGAAGCAAAAGTTTGTTCAATACTTCTGTTCTCAAACTGAATTGTTCACAAACAGAAGTGTTCACAATCCAAGGCATTACTGTATCAGAGTTAAGGAAGCATCAACTGACAGTTCTTGGTCATGGCTCACTACATAATAAGTAAGCATGGTCTCATTATTCCATACAACAAACTGTAAGATTACGCTCTCATTTTATAGATAAACAAAATGAATTTTCAAGAAGGTAAGAGAATAATAGTCTAATATACCAACTTGTCTTTTTCTCGTCCTGTAAAATAATGTAATTCCAGAAATTCTCGTAGAAGTCATTTAATTTTACTTCCTAACCAAGGCCTGAATCTCTTTCACAGCATCCTTGCCAATCAGTCCTTTCACATTGTCTTAGTTACTTTTTCATTGCTGGGAAAACAATACCTGACACTCATAAGTAAAGAAGGAAAGGTTTATTTTAGCTCACAGTTTTTAGAGGGTTCAGTCCATGGTTGGGTGGCCCTAAGGCAGGGCATGCAGGAGGGAGTAAGCCTGCCTTCTAATTTTCCTTTTATCCCATTCAGGCTACAAGCCTATTGAATGGTGCTATCCATACCCAGGGTGGGCCTTCCCATTATCCACACCCAGACTTATGCTAAGCCAATCAGTGGACTAATTTAGTAACCACACACCCTTAATCATACAACCTAGATCCAGCCACCTCTGAAAAGCCTCTCTGATGAGCACATGAGGCTTTGGGGGGGACATCTAGATACAGCTGTAACACACATACATCCAAAATCTTTCACCAAGTGTTTTATCTTCTAAGGCACCCCATTCATCTATGAGCAAATCACTGAGAGTTCTTGACCATATGTTATTTCTTATTGAGTTCTATCTTCAACAATTTTGGAAATTAAGTCCAGTCTTTCAAATAACTGCCCTGATGCTGTAATTGGAATAATTATGTCCTCTACTTCTCAAGAAACTCACTACCTAATAAAACTCCAGTTTATGTATGAGTAGAAGTCATGAAGGAAGAAGGAAAGGTATAATGGTAAGTTCTTGGCAGTTCTGAGAGGTGACAGCCCCAGTGGCTCCTAGACGCTAATACTTTCCCCTGGGAGGAGACCCTGAACATTTTGGAGAAGCAGCTTTGAAGAGCTATAAGTAGCTGTTCTGGATTTAACAAGTTGGGTCACTCAAAGCCTCTTCACCTATAATTCCTGTGTCCTCTCTTTTGTCTTAAGTCCCAGTATATACTTGCCATCAGTATATTCTGGGTATGTTGTTCTGTTCTCCACAATACTCAGGAATAGTTTGAGTTTTAGAGTTAGTTTCCCCTAAGTGTTATTTCTCCATATCATACTACAGTACTTGAACACATTTCACTTCATTCCTTTTAATCTTCAGTGACTTCATTTAGGGATCCATAATGCAGATTTGCATAGTTAGTGAAGTCTCTCATCTGCTATGAGAAGTCCTCTCTATATTAAATTGCTTAAGCATTCACAGCCCTCTTGTCTGGTCAGCTCCTCAATATCAGACATTTTAGAGCAATCACAATGAGTTTGTGCTTTTGTGATTTCTAAAGAAGCAGAGAGTTCTTTGAGGGTTGATGCCATGTCTGATAATCATCTTTCCCCAAGCTGGAACACATGTTTATTAAGCAAAAAAGAAAGTTCTCCTCAATTCCATGCCTTAATATTTGAATTGCGGCTTAGGGGAGTTTGTTTTCACTGAAGCAGCAAATGAGTGATCTTTTTCTATAAACACTACTAAACGAGCTACTGACAGGACAGAGAGGAGAATGGATAGGTGCAAAATGGGATAGGGTTGAAAGAGAAGCTAGGAGGTAGACATGGAAACTAAATGGGAGCAAGAATGAAGGACTTAGACATCTCATCTTAGGATATCAAATAGAACTGAGGGAAAAGGGAATGGAAAAGAGGTGTATGGTGGTGGCGGTGGCAGTGACTGTGTGTGTGTGTGTGTGTGTGTGTGTGTGTAAGAATGGAAGGATAGGAGCAAGAGTGATTGAAAAGGATGCAACCAATACACTCAAATAAGATTTTTTTTAAAACTTAACTAAGAGTAAAGTTTAGCACAAAAGGACAGAGAAAAGATGTAACTGATCCTGAAACAGAAATCTAATGGGATAGACAACAGTAGAAACTGCCTGAAACTATAAATACAAAAATAATCAAGCTATGAGAAAGGAGATTGTCTTAGGTGAAGAACAAAGTACAGAACAGATGGGACCAAAGTTCAATAAGAAAATCTTAGAAGGGCACATAAAAGACAAAAATGAATATAGTGGGAAGAATTGGGAATGTAGCTAGAACTTAAGAAGATACAGAAATCCACTGAAAATTCATAGAGATAATCTAGGGTGGAATAATCTTAATTATCATATCTCTATTTATTACATTTGGAATCATCTAAATGTGAATTTTCATTATTTACTGGCTTTGAAATGAAAAATCCAGCAAAGATCCAGGTGTTAGAAATGAAAGTAGATAGCTCTGTGAAAACAGCCATATATAAACAAGAACAAAAGTCAAAGTAACCTAAGTCAACACATAGGTTTTATAAAACTAGAAAATGGCCAAATTGTGAAACAGTGGTACCTCCAAACATGCGTCCTCTTCTATAACCCAGTGAAATCTTCCTCGGCCCCAAGATGATAGTGTGTTTCTGATGGACTCATCAGCAGCTATCTCACTGCAGGGGGCCTTGCAAACCGTTGCAGTGACATTTTTAAAGTTTACAATTACCTAGACTAGAAAAAAAAATCTTAATTGTGGAATTTAATCACCAATGTTCACTACCTAAATCTATGAAGTCATCTCTAATATCTTTGTTTTGTACTTTCTTTGCCTTTTTCAGATTTTACTTTTCCAGAAGAATTTGTTTGACTTCTTCTCTGATACAAGCCTTAAAAAATAACCCACTCTGTAAGATCTTTGCAGATGACACTGAAGCTAATCACTGTAAGCACCAAGAAGTTCTTTGTCCCTAAGTACCTTTCCCTGCTTGCTTTGTACTCAGTTTGTCCAAATATATGACAGTCCACCAAGCTCCATTTTATTCTCAATATCTGCCTGTGACATTTTAGTCCTGTAGAAATTAGAGAAATTAATGTTCCACTTACAAAATCATAGAATGTTTGAACTGGGAAGGAATTTTAGAGATCATCTAGACTAACTTATGATGAATCATTTGTTAACAGCTCCAAGGGACTCATTCACAATAGGGAATATAGACGATTAGGGCCTCTTAAAAATCCCTATAATAAGAAAGATTGTAGGATTCCCCCAAGGAAGGAAATGAAGCTAATTGCACTAATTTGGACAGATGCTTAAACAGCATCATCACACATGCAGGCACAAATGCAGGGCTATGTTGACTCAATACAGTAGATGAGCTTCAAATCAAACAGACATTTATTAAGCATAGCATCATGATTAAGATTTGCCCAAGGTATCAGAGGGTCAAAACTGTGTCCCAAAAATATAAAAAGCACACAATCCAGCTTATGAAGAAAAACAACAGATTTCACTGATACTGAATGTCATTTTTCCTCATCAGAATCTGTAGCCAAATCGGTGCTCAAAATGTTACTGAGGAACTGTATCACTGCATAGGTTAATAAAAAGACTTACAACATCAACAACAAAAACCCACTCAGTGTGTATGGAGTAGGCACACTAAAATCTTTGTAGAGCTCTGGGTTAAGAACTTGACTTTCATAGTTCCAGTTGAGGTCATTAAAATATATTCAGGTCAAAAACTGCATTTTATGCAAAATAGGAAGAAAAGGTCCAAAGGGGTAGGGGTAGTGGGAGGGGCAGGGGAAAGGAAAGAAGGGAAAGGAAAAATGATGAGAAATGGAAAAATGGAAATAAAGTCTTTGTAAATAGGGAAGGGTGGAGGGGGTGAAGGGAGGGCTAGGAATGGGGAAAAAATAAGAACCAAGATGCATTATGTAAAGGTACAATTCCCAATGAGAAATGTAATTGTGTTGTATACCTAAAATGTATCAATAAAAGAATTTAACAAAAAAATTGCATTTTCTCCACCCAAATTTGGCAGAGTCCTGGAACTTCTTACTATATCCTAGTTCTGCAATAAGAAGATTGATGATGAGAGTGTGAGGAGGTCTGTATGAAACTGCTCCAAGAATGCTGGTCTGGAGAGGTCCTCTTGGGTTTACAAAGCCCAGCTCACATTTTGCCTTCAGTGAGGAACAAACCTTTGCTGACCTCTGACCCCCAGACTGAGCAGGCCAAATTAAAATATCTCTGCTTGGCTTCTCATAGGTCTTTACTGAGGATCAGTAAGACAAGAGTTCCTAGAGGATACCACTGTCTCCTCCATGGTATTTTGGAAATATGGGAGGATATTTTGTTTGTTAGAATGATAATGAACATTTTTGACAACTAATGGGTATCAACTAGCTCTGTTCAATAAAAAAGTGTTCTGTGTCAAGCACTTTAGCACAATATTGATGTAGAGTAACTTTCAGGAAGTTCAACTAGTCATGTAAAGGGAGAGTAGATTGTGTACTGCATTTTAAATATTACCAAATGTCAATGGTAGTGGCACACATACATTTGAGCCACACATACCTATCTTCTAAATTATTCTGTAGCTGTTGTTATCCCAGTAATGATGACTCCATGCATAAGGGCAAGTGTCTGTTTCATTACATCTTCTGTTTTGGTCCTATGTGAGTATCATGTGTGTATTAATTTACTATGAATTGCATTCATTTTATTTCTTCTTTATCTTAGATTCAGGACACTGCATTTATTTTTCTGAAATTATGTATTCAAAGATATATTCTCAGTGAATTCATTTTAGGACAGTAAAGGGGACATAAAATATTTATTATAGAAAGAAGGCATTGGGTCTTATAGGAAAGAGGTGGAAAGGAAATGAGCTTTGAGACTATAACTGGGTTTAGATTCACCTTTGCTATTTACCAGTTCTTTGAATTAGGGTAGTTATTTGTTTAAATCACCTTTTCTCAGCTGCACAATAGAAATAATAGCAACCCTATGATTTATACAAAGATATAGCAGATGCTCAATATTTATTTCCTCTTCATTCATCCATTCAACAATATTTATTGGTTACTTTCTCTGGATAGGCATTAATTTTGGTGCTGGTATAGAAAACTGTGAAGAAAAAAAATCCACTAAATCTTTGGCCTAAGAAAGGTTACATTCAAATAGTGAAGCATCATCTGGTATCATTATTTCATATCACTGCTATTTTATGATAGTTAATTAAGGATATGTAATAGCCTATATGCCAGATTGTATGCTTTTGAGGCAGGTGTATAGTTTGTTTATTTCCATCTCACAGCAACTCTCATAGTCCTCTGTCTACAGTCCGCTGTAATAAATATTATACAGTGTGATTGGATTATCAGCATTTTCCAGTGTTAAAACTCTAAGTATCTTAATTTCTGAGATCTAAAAGTGAATTTAAAAACAAAATACCCTTCATAGATGTGGTGAGATCTAGGACAACCTAGGTAAGACTAGGTAAGACAATATCCCACTGTGCCTCTACTGTGGCTATGTCCTTGTAGTAACGTGAGGAGTTCATAGAGCTGGGGAACATGCTGACACTAAACTTATACAGTCTCCTTTTAGATTGTTTTGAATGATTTGCTGCATCTGCCCATGCCTGGTTCCAGGCATCACACAGTTCTTTCCCAGGTCAGTTCTGTTGCTGGGTGCATGCCACTAGGGCCAAAGGATGGACAAGGGAGAGTACTTTGCAGATCATGTAGATGGGAGTATGATATTTGAGCCTGGGCACTCAGATGCCTATACCTAAGATTCCATGATACTGGATGGAGGCAGCAGTGGGAAGTCCAGAGGGCCTCCACAGGTGGATCACACTCTGAAGAATCCCAGAATCAATATTGAAAGGCTGAAAATACAAAATGGTAGAAATAACATATTTTATAGTTTGTTATCATGGCTTTTAACTTAAATATTTCCATGCCCAGTCTGTAGACCTCCATGTTTAATTTCATCTTTTTCCCAAATGTTAGAGACAGTCTAGTCTTATTTCTGATTTTTCTCTTCTGATTAAGTTAGAGTACTTAGAAAGGGATGCATTTATTTTTAGGATACTTCTTACAGAACTTTTCTGATTTCACTGTGCTTTAACCCATGCATATATTGGTAGGTTTTTTTTTGGTTCTTTATAATAATATATGTTGTGCCTAAAAATATCCTTAGTATTATCAAAGTTTTCTGTTTAAATTTCTTTTTTTTTTTTGGTACCGGCGATTGAACTCGGGTCCTTGCGCTTGTGCAGCAGGTGGTAAAACCACTGAGCTAAGTCCCCGGCCCTCTGTTTAAATTTCTTTGGATGAAATTCCTTTAAGACCTCCTTTAAAAGAACAATATATGTGAATTTGTTTGTTTCTTATTTCAGAATATTTTCTCGGTTTTATATGCAAACTATGAAAAAAGTTCCTGCTGGACTAGTTGCTAACATTTATGATTTTTACATAGTAGCTACAACCAAATATACTGATATAGGTGGTAGTCTGATTTGTGCTGATATTTATATATTTCTTAATCTATTTCCTGTATTTTAATAAAATAACTATTCATCTTTATGTATATGTTAGCTTCTCTTCTGGATATATGTTCATAGTTTTAAAATGTGTATTTCAGTGCTCACTTCGGCAGCACATATACTAAAATGTGTATTTCACTGTGCAGTCTTACACATGGAAAATAAAAAAGTTGAACACATGGAAATAGAGAGTAGATTGGTGGTTATCAGAGGCTGAGGATGGAGGCCAGACAGGGAAAGGGGTGATATTGGCTAAAGAGCACCAATTTCTGGCTAAACAATATGCATAAGTTTTAGTGTATATTGTAGAGAATGGTAACCACAGTTAAAAACAATGCATTGTTTATTTCAAAATTGCTAATAGTTTTTAAGTGTTTTTACCACATAAAAAATAAGTATGTGAGATTGCATATTAATTAGCTTGATTTAATAATTTCACACTGTAAAAATATATCAAAATGTCACACTGTACCTTGCAAATATACATAGTCAAATTAAATAAAAAATAAAAATATTTAAACTTGTTCATTTTATATACTATATATTATATGTATATGTTTGTTTAGTTTTGTATATTTTAATAATTTTCTGTTAATTCTAGCATATCATAGTACTATATTCAAATAAGCCAATATGCTAATCATTTTGAAAGGTCTTTGGATTCATGTTGAAATCTTAACTATTAAGTATGCATGTTAATCCTTTCATATGCATTAATAGTCCAACTGACTTTCGTCTTCCTAATGGAATCAAATTTATCCTATAAAAGTCATAGCTCATGTATTACCTCTATCATAGGTTTGACATTCATTCATTCACTTATCCAATAAGACAATTAAATGTATTGAAGTCTTTATGTTACATCTACAATTCTAAGTGCTGGTGATTTAGTAGTAGTGAATAAAAACAAACAAGTAACCTCTTCAACTTCAAACTGAGAAAGGAACTCAGAAGGCAAGGGACAAGGCTGTATGAGAAAGATATCAAGGAAACATGACTTAGAGCCATCTTTGATCTCATGGGAGAGTAACAGGAGACCAAACCCAGCTGTGTGACTTAGGTCCAACATAACTGATAGATTGCTAAGATGGTTGCAGTACTTCTCCCCATTCCTATATGAAGACTTTTCTGCATTGTGACATTGCTACTCCTCTCGTGAAGGATGAAGTCGATTTCCCCCATGTCCTCTAATTTTGGTCCTTTGACTTGTCTTGGCCAACAGAATATGGCATCATCCATTAGTATTGAAAAATCCTCTTAACCTGATTTCTAAGAAACCACAGTTTCCTTCATGGTCTCTGTTAGTCATTTTTTTCTTCAGATACATTTCTCTGGATCTTTAAATGCCATGTTTTTTCACAGTATGTTCTAATTTATCTTCTCTTCCTTGAGAATTTTCTTCTGGGAAGTCTCAATAAGAACAGAGGTTTAATCCTATCTATACTGATGAGATTTGAAATTATATTTCTCCCCCAGACCTTTTGGGACTCTAACTCTTTATCTAGCTACTAATCTCTCTCTCCTCTCAGTTCTCTCAGAAACAGAAAAATTCAAAATTGTATAATTTCTCCATTTACTTACCCAGTCATCATATTTTAATTATGAAAGCTAGACTTAGGAACTATCCTGAAGTACTATCTTTGACATTTTCTTCTCTCTCTTATTCCTAAATTCAATCTGTGACCGATTCTCTCAGTTTTATCTCCTAAATACTTCACACATGAATTCACTTCTTCCTATCGCAATTGCAATCATCTAATTATGTTTCTTTCCTTACTCTTCTAGATGCCTAATAGATTCTGAGTCACCTATCCTAGACCATCTTGATTTTCTTCTCCATTCTGCAGGAGTGTTTTCAAAATATAAACCAGACATGATTATTGAAATCCTGCCACCACCAACAAATACACCTGAGCCTCTATCCTCAACAATTAAAACAAGTCTTCTCTAAGTGGCTCTAGATACACCCATGTGGCTTAGAGATTTTCCTCTCTGTGTCTAGGCACACTAGTCGTTTTTCTTGTCTTAAAAAATGTCAGAGTCCTTCCTATAACACTGTGGATTACAAGCCATTCTAAAAGTCTGGACCTCTGTCTCCAGTATTGTTGTATTTAATGCCTCTCATTCTACAGATTTCAGATCAAATGCTGTTAATTAGTGATACCTTGCCTGATTTCCACCTCTACCCACTGTAGATCTTGTCCTCTTGTTCCTTGATTTATTAGTATGAGCCATGTCCTTTCCCTCGGAAAACTTCTCTGCAGTGTTAGTTTGAAAGTGTGACTTGTAGATTAGCTCCCTACATAGAATCAGGAAGTGTGAATAGTTTTGATCGCCACCATATTATAGATTTTAACGTTGTCCTCATATACAACAAATGCTAACAAATATTTTTTTTAAAATGAATGCAAAGAATGGATGCAAACAAAGTAGTGCAATAGTAGTGATGGGACTTGCGAAGAGGTTGGGCGTAGCTGACGAGTTGGTGAATTCTTCACTGCAAGGGAAGCATCCCAGTCAAAAGTCTTTAATTAAGTTGTTAACTACACAGAACGTGAATTCTCACTGAAGATTTGAAGAGGAGCATAAAAAAAGAAAGAAAAAATGGGCATAAATCCATGTAGCACATTTTTTTCATCAATTAGTTTTAAATCTGATTTTAAAAATTGGGTCAAACCGCTATGTGGGGCTCCTGCTGACGTTATAATTTGCTTTTCTGAGATGAAATATTTAAAATGTTGAACCAGCTCATTCACCGTGACTAGCTCTGAAAGTTAGTCCACAATTTCACTTACAATTGGAATTACAATTTCACATATTGGTTTGGAAGCGAAGGAGAAAAACACAGAGGACAGAATATTTCACAAAAGTTTCCCATCTGATATTATTCAAAGGGGAAAGAATGGGATCGTGGCAAGTAGCTGGCATGAAATCCAAAGAGCCAGGAAGAGGCAGTTCTAAGAGGAAAGAGGTTTAGAATAGTGGATGCAGGGAGTACACACAAAGAAAAAATTTTTTTTGTTACTGGGGATTGAACTCAGGACCTTGCACTGGCAAGGCAGGTGCCGGAACCACTGAGCTAAATCCTGGGCCCACACAAAGAAAATTTTATTGGCATTAGAAATGCTTTGGAGGAAAGATTTCTTACTTTGTGCAAACCTCTAAGAATCTTCTTCATGAAAGTTCTAAAAGAGTAAAGGAAAGGCATTATGAAAAGCAATCTGAGGTTCTCTGAAGAACATTGCCAAATAAGTTCAAGTGCTTTTAAAGATCGGAATGACACAATTTACAAAACAGAACAAATGCTGAAGGATATAGCCACTGCCCATAGCTTGTTTAAATCTTAGGAAAACCACGGGATGTGTCTGCATTTTCAATCTGTCACTGTTGGAGAGCAAAGGGGTCACAAGTCACTTTGCAGGTGGAATGCAGAGCTCCAAGCTCAGATTAGTAGGATCAGTCTCTCCGAGAGCCCTATAGTCTAAGACCCTGGAGATTCTCCCTTTGCTCACTTTCTAGTTTACACACTTTGTTTCAGTTTCGTTCCACATAAAGTTCTGTACCTCTCTGCTGAGCCTCTGACTGCAGGTGAAGCAGCGACTGCTGCACATACAGGAGCAATGAGAGAGAAGGTTTTCAATTTTTAGAGTTAGTAGTGATATAATGTGAATGATGGGTTAGTTACATTTCTGATGAAGTGAGCTGAGAAGCCCTTTAGAGGGAGGGACTTGTTGCTGGCTGGAGGAAAAGCAGGGCTATCAAAAGGGCCATAAGCCACTGGGGCTAGGACCTGGGTGGGGGTGGGGCAGAAACTCCTGACCAGATACTGGCGGGGGGCCCTAGGTCTCCTGGTCACTCTGCTGAGCCATCCAGGGCTTCTCACCGCTATGGAGACTGCCCCAGATTCCTTTTGTGGGACCTCTTTATAGGACTCCCTTGCTCCTCAGAGGCTGCAGTAACTATGTACAGTTCCTTTTCCACAAAGCCCAGAACATTCTCAATCCTTTGTTCCTGCCAACCTGCTGATGTTGGCATCTTCTCCCTCTCCTCCAGCTTCCAAAGACCCAGCTCTCACCTCTGTTCAAGTCAAGAATCAACTCTGCAAATTTTGATTCTTCTCTTTGAAATCTGAGTCTTTGGAATGGGAGGCCACAGTGGCTCTCCATGGGGGGAAGAAGTTGGCAGGTCAATCAGGATCATCCCAGCTCCAGCGCCATCAGAACTTCCCATCCATCTCTGAGCAGGAGTAACGAGGTCCACATTCTTCTCTGCCTCATAGAGAAGCCACTAATCCATTTTCCTATACGTTTTAACTAGAAACTTCTCCAATTCCCAGTCATTCCTAAAGTGCAATTTCTCTCTTCTCCATTCCTCCTTGTTATCCCAGTGGGTGTGTCGCAGAATGGGGACCTGCTCCAGTATTCACCAATCTCCCAGTTGGTTTATTCATCTCCCTATTATTCTCCAGATGAACTAGGATTTTCCTCACTCATCCCTCTCTGTTTTCAGCACCATTTTTAAGTGCCAACTATGTGCTAGTTCTAATTTCTGGGAATAAATTGATAATAAGCAAAATACATATTTTTTCTGTTCTCACACAGCTTACAGACCAATGGGAGACATATGAGACACAAGGAAAAGGTAAAGAATGATAAGATGCAAAAGCTCAGAAAATGGGACCAACAAGTTGTAAATCTTTCCTTATTGTTATATCTTTCTTCGAGCTTAAAGTAAATGGGCCTTGGATTTGAGACTCAGATAAAAATAACACCTTGAAGGGCTGGGGATTTAGCTCAGTGGTTCTGCCACCTGCCTTGCAAGTCCAAGGCCTGGAGTTTGATCCCCAGTTCAAAAACAAAACAAAACAAAGCAAAACCTTGAGATTGTAGAATCAACCTTGACAGGGCTATGATCTGCAAGACTCTTCAAGATGAGAAAGAGATAAGAAATCTAGGTAGGATTGGAACTCCCAGGAGGTTTCCATAGTATTCAAAACAACATTATATATTGGATATTGTTTGCAAGTAGGTATAGGCTTGCAATTCTCTGTGTGCATGTACATATACTTCAGACTGCATTCATGAATAATATATCACATTTATTTTATCTTCTTGGTGCATACTTACAAGATTTCAAGCTTCTGCAACCTCTGAAAAATAAGCTATACCTTTGCAATTTAAGAGCCCTCCTTAAGTCCCAGTTAAGAAGAAGAAAGAAAAACAGAATTAGCATGAGATGCAGACAGCACCTTTTTTAGAGTGAGATGCAGACAGCTAGTTTGGGTTTGCAGTTCTTCAAAGCTGGTTCTTACAGTGAATGCTCTTAAGTTTTTCCCTGACCATTGCAAAGTTTTGGCAGAACCCTGGCGTTTTCTTGGCTCTCCCAAGGCTCCTCATCAGCAGGGAGCAGCCCTACCGTTCAGGGATAGTGACTTGCAAATGGACAGCAGCAGAGGCAGCAGGATTCAAGAACCTGAGGAACTGGCACCTGGGCACTCAAGAGGAAATTCCTGAGAAATGCTCTAGAGGCCTGGGAGGACTCTGCAGTGGGCAAACTTCTGGGAGTTAGGAAATTTAACCTTGTTTTGTTGTCACTGGCTCTTGAGGCTGGAGATTTTAAATATGGATATTATTGCCTTCTCTTTCCCCAAGTCCCTGTACAATGTGTGTGGTGCAAATGTCATGATCAACTCCCTTTGCATTTCACCGAGTACAGTTAATACTTTCCCCAAGGTTACAGTGTAGTTGTGAAAGGCAACCTTCTTGCTGGAGGTGAAGTACGCTATATAACTACTCCTACAACTTTTGCAAGGCCTTCCTAATCACTGAGAGGGTGTTGGGAGGGTGGACGAGCTCCATGGAATTAGAGCTACAACACGCTTTTCCAATTTCTCCCACTGTGCCTTGCAATCAAATCAAGCTGCTGTTCATTTCGAGACTAAAGATGAAATGTTCTGGGATACAATGTTCTCAGTCCTGTTCCCAGTGGATGAGTCTCCACAGATCACAAATAGCACGGCTGATGTTAATGGTTGCTTATCACCCAGCAGCCTCTCAAATGACCTGCAAAGTTGGCAGGAGAACACCTGAGCATGGAAACAGATTCCCCTATCATTGTGTTAAAGCTTTTGAGACCAGAGAATACTATTGTGGTTTCAGACTTGTTCATAGGTCTGAGCTCCTAGGAGTTAAAAGGTGTGGGACCCCATGAAATCCTGTCATGTGCAATTCTGCCAAGTGGAATGGAAACAAAAATAGATGAATATAACATGTGTGTTCTCTAAATTCATAGCCCATGTGTCCATGAAAATAAACAAGCTAAACTTGATCAATTTCCAGGGTTTTAATGAGCTTTCATTCACTTATTTTTTATTTAATTCTGTTACCACTTGTTACCAGACCAATGATCATAGGTAGCAACCACTGAAGGAAATTTATAGGAGAAAAAATTAAATGGAAGAATTCTACACAGAAATCTAGTAATCTTTTCCTTCTGTGAATCAGGAGGTGACTGCTGTTATTTGATTTTTCTAGGATGATAATATACTATGACTGTCAGAAAATATCTTTCAAAATCCATGCTGTTGGATTAAGCAAATGTGACTTTAGAAATTTAAAATAACATACAGAATGATCAATTTGAACTTTTTTTGTTGCTCCAAGATGATTTGCTAAGGGTCAGATTCTAAATGGTACATTGACAGTATCAATAACAAGAGTGAAAGGAGAGTTCTTAACCCCTTTAAGATTTTCAATTTTCCCAGCACATTAGACACATTCAGAGATGTTATTTGCAACCTGTTTGTCAAATATCTTATTTCTTGATTGTTAATCTTTGAAAAGATAGGTTTTTGAAAAGATATATACATACTCTATTACCATCTTTGCCTATCCTTGTTCTCTACTCCCCTTTTCCTCTCATCTAAGTAGAATCACTACTCAAATCCCAGGGATGTCTAGAAGACAGTTTGAAAACCATCTAGAATTTTTCAATTTTCAATATGGCACTTTACATTTAAAAGTTAATTCATATTCATGCTGAGTAGAAAACATCCCAAGCTGTCCAGTCTAATTGATCCAGTTGTTAGACTAGAAACTCTGTGAGGGCAGCCAGGGGTCATCTGATCTTGGTCTCCATGATTATCATCCATACTTCACACCCTAGAAGTGGTATCAGTGTAAAAACATCAGTAAGGAGAATAATGATCAGGACAGGCAGAGACTGATGCAGTGCTTACTATGTTCCATGCAGTTCCTTAAATGCTTGACACACATTAGCACTTAATGTGAATTCACCAGTGAATTCATATTTTTATTGTCCATATTTACAAGTGAGAAAGCCCAGATGCTGTAGGGTCAAGTGGTGTTGTGAAAGTCAGTAAGGCCCAGAGCTGGATTCAGGACCAGGAAGTGTGGCTTCAGGGCCTGTGCCCTTAATTGTCACACTGTCCTGTCTCTTGGCACAGGAAAATAAAGCTGCACACCTTATGTGACACAGTTATTTGATCTTAGCTCATCCCCAGACTGCTACAGTATCTGCCTGACCTTTCTTAGAGTGTCTGCATATTTTACCCTATAATCAAGTTTTCAAATGGCTAAGTTCTAAATCACTACAAACTTTTCCACTTTTTCCCCCAGGAGTCAGATTTTACATTACTCATAAGTCAGACCCACTTTTTACTTATCTCATTTGAATGAGGTTGATGGTAGATGCTGACAGGATGAAGGTCTACTACTGGTCTGTTCAGGTTATGCACAATACCATTTACAGATTTTCAGCTGGGTTAGCCTCCTCTCTCCAAAGCTTTGAAGGCAATAAAAACAATGATCAGCTTTAATGAGCAATGTGTACAACTACTTACAGCCCCTTTCTTTAATTTCATAACTTTGGGTTCTAAGATTGTCACAGCTGATGCTTCATCAAAAAAAAATAACCCAAGACTGGAACTTGAAATCCTGCATAACTCACACAACTCAAGAATTCTGTTTTCTTATCATGGGGTTTTCTCTAATTCCTTCCTCCCCAGTAATAATGCAAAATGTTTGAAGAGCTCAAAAAAATAGGTAATGGCTAAATAGTTCGGTTCATGTGATAATTTGGGTGTGTGAAGAAACTTTAGCTTATTGGAGGGCAATCAATCCTCTGGCTGCCTAGAAAGGGGGACAGCTAGGTCTAAAGAAAGAAGGACAATGGAGACTTGCATGATTTCAAAGTACATGGGGATCTGGGAGGTCAGTGCCTCAGAGTGGGCAAAGACAAAGATAGCTATTATTTATTAAGTACACAAAATAAATAGAGGGAGTATCAGGTGATTTGGAGGCAGTGGTAATACTATGTTGATGAGGATATTATGTTGTTGAAGATCTTCAGTGAGGATCTTATGTTGACAAGGGCAGTAGGGACAGCATTCTTACAATGGTAGGTGGGATGAGACAGCAGGCTAATAAAGGTGAAACCTTTCTCTTTTTCAAAGAACCAGGAGGTCTTCAGCTGCTGTTCTCTTACCCTTGAATGTCACAGCATCACAGGACCACTGAGGCCTCAACTTGTGACCAGAGGTCACAAAACAGTTATGTTCCTACATGCTATAGCCAGCTCTGGTGACACTGGTTACCTTAGACAGCTATAGTCATACTTTAATTATGAAATTATTTTTCCCTAAAAATTATGTAGAATGGCTCTCGGAAGTAGCTACTATATTTTTATTTGATCTGAAGTTTGTATGTGTGTGGTCCTAGGATTGAAATCAGGGACTTCACACTGAGCTACATTCCCAGTCCTGTTTAATTTTTTTGGTTACGTTGCTAAATTCTTCAGACTGGGCTAGAATATGTAGTCTTTCTGCCTCACCTTCTCAGAGTGCCGGGATTACAAATCCTTCTCAAATGTCTACCTGTTGGCCAGAGGGGAAATAGCAAAGGTAAGTGAGTCTACTCTGATCTAAAACAAAATGAGACAAAATAATTTTGTTTCTTTAGGTTTAACTTGATTCTTTGGATAACTGCTCACTATTTCAGATTCCCTTATGTTCTCTTTGCTTTTTCCCAAGACAGTGGCCAAAGGTTTTGAGAAAAACCACAACTCTTTTGAATTGGGAAGGGTTTGTGTGGTGATGGATATGAACTGAGATCCACTATAGTTTGGCTAAGCCAGTTCCGATCCTAGGGAACCCACTGATTCCTGCTGTTGATATCTCTGGTTGGTAAATTAATAGTTTTTGCTTTTCTCGGGCCTCAGAACCAGAAGGTGCTTCCCAATGACTTGGCTTCCTGTTGACTTTTGTACGTTTTGAAGACTCCTGCAAGTCACGGCCTCATATATCATTCACCCTTGGCTCATGTTGACCACCAAACTCTCTGCTGATCACTCACTAAGTGTGGGCTACTCATCATTATGAATCATAAGCCTGTTCCTTCCACTCATCTCACTGGCTTCCCTTGAGTATAGGAGAAAAATAATACACAAAATCATTGAGGACTAATAACTCTTATTGCTCTATTTTGGTTGCTCTGGTGATATTTAACCAATAATGCATGAAGAGAATATTTTCATCTCACTGGAATATACAGGAGAGTGGAACACAAGGCAGAAGGCCTTATTTGACAAAGACTGTCCAAATATCCTTAAATCATGTGACTGCATAGGATTTAGAATGAAAACAAGGTGTTATTGGTTTCTAGTCCTTACCTTCTCCCTAGATCCAGTGCTCTTTCTAGGATACCAATTGGAATACTTTATAGCCATGGGAAAAAATGCTTTGATGGCTCCTTACAACTTTAGGATAAACTCACACTTATTTGTATCACACAGGAGGTGTTTATAATCTGCTATCTTCTTCCCTTCACTTCTCCTGCTTCTTCCTGTTGACATTTAGACTTAACCATTGCTGAAGCAGAGACCATTCCTTAAACCCACTGAGTCCCTTTATGACCTCCTGCCTTTGTGCTAAAGTTCTGTCTTCTCCTTCCACTGTCCTATTTTCTACATATCTTTCAGAGCAACTCATGGAAGCCTTCTCTGAGTGGAAGTCTTTCCTCTCTGTCCCCTCTGAGCCCAGTACTCACTCCCACCATAGCTCTTTCTTTGCGGTCAAGTTGATGAATTGGAGTATTTCCCAACTTATGTTTCCCAAAATGGTGGTTCGCAGTGTTAAAGACAGCAATGGTGTATATTCAGCAAGAAAATAATTATTTAACCTGTCAAGCAGTCAAATAATTATCTGAACCTTTTCTTCCCTTTAAAATATTCACTGGAGAGGTTCCAAGCATGGATTGAGGATCATGAGAGGTGGTTGTTGAAGATCGGTAACCATGATCCAGATTCAATAGCTTCAGTGTTTTATTATCCACTGAAACCGTGCACCTCCCCTTGTGGGAGTCAGTGACTATTCTTAGCTTTAATTCTCTGTGTGTGTGTTTATTGTAGGTTATATAATGTTTAATTTAAATCATAACAGATTCGATCAATTCTATGAAATATAAAGAAACCCAATTTTGAAAATCAGTAAGTACATAGGGAGATATAAATGATGTTAAGCCTACATATTTACCTCACCACAAACTCCTAAGAGCCATTAATCATACTTATGATTAAGTATCTTATGTTGAACTTCAAGATAAAAACAATACTTCAAAATCCAGTATTACAAAGAAAACATATTAATGATCATTTCCAATCTGATTTTTTACTTATTGAGAACTAAGACATTCCCCCTCACAATATGTTATTTACAGAAATGCACTTGTAAATGGGAGTCTGAAACCTGTTGATTTTTTTTGAAACACAAAATGCAAAATACCAAATATCAGATGCTGAAAACAGGTTTTATCTTTTCAAATGTTTAACATGTAGTTAAAATGTAATGCACATTTAAATATATATTTAATTCTCAAACCAAACATGTCATGATTACAGTTATGTGTTGACAGATTATGCCTTTTCTTACAAAATTTAAAATACAATGAATCTCTTGTGACACATGTTAAATGGAAAACAAATCAAAATGTTTCTGTACGTAGTTTGAGTATTATTAAAGCTTCCCTTCCAGATATCTACATGGTTCAGAGCCATTTACTTCAGTTCTTTATTAAAGTCACTGTTTCGGTGAGCTCCTCCATGATCACTCAGTTTTAAACTGAGAGACATTCTCTAACATCTTCTTCACCCATCTTCTTTCCATGGTTTAGTTTTCCCTTAGCATTTTTCACTCTCTTACATACAATAGATACTATTTTTTAAAAAAAATCCTATTAGTTATCATCATGAAAGCAGGGGCCTTGTCTGTCATGTGTGTTATTGTACTTGTGATGCAGAGTAGTGTCTGTCCCTTAGCAGATGCTCAATGAAATATTTTTGAAAAAGAATAAGATAACTTTCTAATAAATATTTCAATGTACTGATCTAGGGGGAGATATTTTATACTCAAATACATCTGTATATGATATGTTACTGATATTTTTATATTTTAACATTTTATGGGGTTTGCAATGTGAAATCTTAATTTCAAAGCATATAATACAGGAAAAATATGATGGAAAGAACTGTTATAGTTTAGATCCTCTTCAGACTGTGAGTGCTTATGGATAATCATAGTTATTCATTTCAAAATGTCTTTTTCTTTTTTCTTCTACTGCTGCTTGTACACAGCCCATAGTGGGTATGCAAACTCCTCCCAACTTGAAAAAGTCTGTGTCCCCCTCCCCACCAAAAAAGTCCCTCTCCCAAAGTCTTGGCCATCATCCTGGAACAGAGCAAGGAGAACACAAGGGAATAGAAAGAAATAAATTATAAATGAATGAATGAAAGATAAAGATAGTATGAGAAAGAATTTTCGGAGCACACTGATGTGATCATGCTGTAAGACATGTATTGTAAACCTAGCATCTTGTTCAGATCATACATCTAGTGTGCATTCATCAATTACTGCCCCAGCCTCCAGTTCCCTCATCCCTGTTTACCCTAACACTGTAGTCCCAATGTCAGCTAAAGAGATGGTCAGTGGGATATTTGCCCATTGCCGAGAGTAGAAGTTACTCTACTGGTGGGAGGTAGCAATGGGTGGTTATTGGAGATATAAAGAAAAGTTGTGTAAACATGAACAGAAATACAATGGAAAATTAACCAACTGAATAGAAATTGAGAAATAGTGAACTGTTTTTATTTTCAGTTAAGGAGAAATATATAACTAATGTTCATCTCAGAGCCAAAGGAGAAAAATGATTAGAATTTTCCTGAGTCATAGAAGTCGACATTGACAAAGATGAAGTCATTAGTCCCCATCTGTTTTAGCTGTCCAAGACACAACTCATATTATTCTTGATAAAAAAAAAAAGACTGCTGTGTTCTCATATCTTTCTGAGAACACCAATGTTATGCGGAGTAAGAACATGGTTACAACCTGGTCACTATTCTTGGCTTGAAAGAGGGACGGCTAAGTGTTGGGGACCAATAACTGCTTCTCCGTTAGACACTGACCAGGTCAGCACCTTCTGTCCTCTTCCTGTAACTGCAATATTTTCCTGCATTCCCACTGAACAACTATGGTCCAAGCATAATTTTGAGACACTAGCTTATAAATTGTGAACTAGAGATAATAATCATACTATTTCTTTTCTTCACAAGATTTCTCCTATAACCTCAATTGTATACTTGTTTGTATTTTGAACTGTATATACTGAAATTATCAGGGTATACATCCCGATTTTTACAAAATCCTCAGCACTGCTTACCTTCTTGGTATAAACAACTTGCATGGACAATGCTTTTCCTCCAAATTCTCCAGGAGCATTGTGAGAGGGTAATTA